GGCAGCAGGATGAAAATCCTTTGCCTCGTCCTCTTTGTTCTTCTTTAAAATGTAGCGCAGCACATTTCTGACAATTTAATGTCCAGCAATATTTCTTTTTCTACAGTTACCTAACAATGTACATGTTCTCTCACTGATTTGAGAAAGCAAAGTGGCCAATTCGCTCATCAGTGAGACAATGTTAACATTGTCTCACTCTAATTACTTTGTCTTACTCCAGATTTGCAACGTGAAGGCACGAAATAGTGAGCGCGTAACATGCAGGCAACGTCGTATGCGCGCGAAATACGTTGGCAGCACTAGCTGTAAATCAGCTGGTCAGCTGTTCTACTGTTGTATTTGTCACTTCACATTAAATGTTATATTAAAAGTTCACTTCTGTGTAAAAATAGGTTATGTTTCTTGACCAATTTATTTGTTTTATGGCAACTGTAGGAAAAGTATAATGTGCAACTCGAGTTCAAAGTACAATTGCCTCACTCAAGAAACCATTCCTCACTCGCCTACGGCTCGTGAGTAAGGATTTCTCTCGAGTGAGTCAATTGCTCACTTTTCTCACTAGTTGCACAAATAACTATTGTCGTCGGGTCCTTGGCACGTTTAAACGAAAATATAATGTAAAACCTTTCTCTATATAGGTAACATTTCTTTTCCGGGTATCTAATTATAAAAAAAATTCAAACTGTTTACATTTCAAAATCAAACAAAACAGCTGGGATTTTTTTTTAGTAATGTATTGCAGTTTCAGAATATAATAACATTCAAATCAATCACAATGTTATCCTTATGGAAGGAACTTTGAGGGCACCCCACGCCCTTAAAATGATATATTTCGAAAATCTAACAATACATCTAACAATCTAACAATAATTATAGTCAGTTTTGAAAATTTTGCCCTTAGGGGTAGTGGGGGTTAGGGATAGCTCAAAAATTTCAAATAGCAAGTATAGTCGAGTTTGGTATCATTTTACAGGCCTTGACGAAACATAAACATTAACATAAAGAAAATAGAAATCGGACCATTTATAACAAAATGGCATTTATAATAAAAATGATTAAGACAATGGTAATTAAAAGTAATTTTGAACTGCCATTTTGTTATAATGATCTGATTTCTATTTTCTTAATGTTCATTTTTATGTTTCGTCAAGACCTGTAAAATGATACCAAACTCGACTATACTTGCTATTTGAAATTTTTGAGCTACCCCTAACCCTCACTACCCCTAAGGGCACAAATTTCCAAAATGACCATAATTATTGTAGCCCTTCATATCCAAACAAGTTGCCGCAAACCGATTTCAAATATCTCAAATAGTTAAAAAGTAAAAGTGGGTGCAAGTTAATTTTCAGCCACCCTCATGGTTATTTGGATTTGAAACGTTTTAGGGCACCATTTTGTTATTAGTGGGCCAATTTTAGTTTTCTTTATATCAGTTTTCATGTTTCCTCAAGACCTGTAAAATGATACCAAATTCGACTATACTTGTCATTTGAAAATTTTGAGCTACCCCCTACCCCCACTACCCAAGGGCAAAATTTTCAAAATTGACCATAATTATTGTAGCCCCTCATATCTAAGAAGGTTGCCGCAAACAGATTTCCGATATCTCAAATGGTTGAAAAGTTAAGGGGGGGGTGCAAGTTACTTTTCAGCCACCCTGTATAATATGTGGGGTTAAATCTTAAAACAAAAAAAAGCCTTATTGTTCACAAAGTTTCATGTCGCGTATTAAATATATAGATTGGTCTATTTTAGTCTACACTCGCTCAGTTTTATTTGGTTGTCAGGTTACTTATTAATTAAATAATTAAGACAAAGTTCCATTGCACGTTTGGCTTGACACTTAGTCATCTTGAAAATGAGTGGTTTAATGTAAAAATTATTACTTTCCTTTTGTTTAGACCGTTGGTAAAAAAAAAAAAACTCATCACTTTAATACCGTCTAAACCGAATTACCAGCTTAATAACTTCTGGATCAGCATTGTACTTGTAATTAAATTTACTGAAAGCACACGAAAATAAGTCTTTTAAAATCTAATTAATATTACTTAGCAACAACAACTCATAGGTGGAGTTCCGGTCCCTATATTGAAACTTAAAGATAAAATCCTTAAACATATTTTCTTTACAAAGTTTACATTATATGTGACATCCTGTAGCGGTAAGCTGTTAAAACAAAGAACATCAATCAAAACCAAGTTATTCTAGGGCAAGCTGACATAGAAGTGCGTCAGCCGTCCTGGATCGCTCAAGATTGCATTGAAGGATTCTTATCTTCGTGGGAGGGCTTTCGCTTGTTGTAGTGCAGATTTAAATGCACTGCACTGTCCAGACCCAGCTATATGCTTCAAGCGTTTTTCAGCGAGCCCATTTTCTTTGCAAAGAAAACAGGACTCGACTTGGCAGTCCTTACGGATGTGACCGACCTCCCCGCACCGAAGGCAGTTCTTGCTTCGGTCGGGTCCCTTGCAGTTTCGGGAGGAATGGCCGAAACAGAGGCATTTAAAACACCTCTTTACTTCCACTCTCCGTCTGAGCCTGCAGTTGACCCAGCCGACTCTCAGATGTTGGAGTGCCAGCACCTTATTGGCATGTGCGTCTGCCATTTCGGCGACCGCCATCCGCTGCTGGCTCCTATTCGGTTTTGTGAGCCACACCTTCAGGAAAGCCGTTTGCCCACCAAGCTCGGGGATAGCTTTCTTCAGGGCTTCCACAACATCAGCCTCCGTCGACACACAATCAATGTCTCGAACCTCGACTGATGTCTTTGGCTCAAGAGAACGGACGGTGCCCTGGCCTTCGACAGCTACCTTCAGTTCGGCAGTAAAGCTATCTTGGCTTCAAGCGGTTGAAAAATTCTAATTAACCATACATATTAACTTAGTGAACCTTTCATCAAGTTGAATTAACTGACTTGCCTATTTACTTCGAGCATATGTATTAATAAATGGAGTATTACATATTAACAGCATTTGCATTAATAGTATTTATGTATTTAACAGTAAAAATAACATAGTTTTACTGATTCAAATAGTTCATTATAATTTGACATGGTCATAAAACCTTAATTTTGTATTGCTATTTTTATAAAAGAGAACTAAAATTTAAACTTAACTATTCTAAAAATGTAGCACAAAATATTTCTAATAATTGGGTTGGTTAGGTTATTCAGCTATTCAATGAAAAAATCATCTATAGTAATACAAATGAGCTCCGTAGTATAGTTTAATTTTATTAACAAATAGTTCAATGAAATAGATGGAAGTTTTTTTTTACTCTTAATGCTTTTCTTTGTGTTCCAAACCAATCTTCTTAATTTGTTTGTACAAAAAATATCTGTAGCTGATCAAGAATCTGTTATTCCTTTATGATGTTATCATCAGATCATGATTTTCTATTTTTATTCAGTGTATATCATCGTTAGAAATGAACTGTCCCACTTATAAACCTTTGCTAGCCGATGAATTGTAAATGCAATGTTTAAGTCTAGCAAATGTACTATCCCTAGGTAAAATGCCATCATCTATTTCTTCGATGTTTTTATAAAATAAACAAAATAATCTATGAAATAAAAAATATCATTATACATGATGTATTACATATGTTATACAAATTTCTTTTAGTTTCGGGCTATTTTAGCTATTTCCGTGTAGAAAAGTAGTGTTATATACGTTTATCGTGCACTTAGTCAGCTGATGAAATAACATCTAATTGCAAGGGCCTATTTCATTTTCTGAAATAAAAAATATTATGATTGATGTATAATCCTAAATAAATTGTGTTTTGATTTTAAAATGTAATATTTTTCTGTGTTGTATGATGTAAAGTATCGTAGGCTACGTTACTAGCTTTACCGTACTCGCACGGAAATCCCGCGCGAGGCGTGCTCACACGGTAAAACACTACTTACCGGGCTAGTAACGTGATATACTATACCCCAGCGTATTGGAGAGATTTGATCGTCATCTAATTAAAAAAGGCCACTTTTGGTTTAACACTATACAATGTATAACGTAGAATTGCCATCACGAGAGAACTCCCTCGGGACTCTGCCCTAGTGGCTCTTAAAGTCCCCATATTTTCCTTATAGAGAAAACATGTATAACATTAGATCAGATGGATAATTAATTGTACGTTGATATTGTACCATATTCTGATAATTTGTACCATAATGTTACAATAGTTTGACACTCATACCATCATGTAACCATAATTTCTGTTTAGGTTGGCAATATGCAAAATCAGGCGATATTTCTAATAAAACAGCTCATGGCTATTTCCCGTGACGTCATATCACGCCACCATCACACCACCTTTCCGAACAAGCCTAAATCCCCTCTCCTCACGTCAGTCCACACCATGTATTAGTCCCGTCAACACCGTATACCCTTTGCGGCCCTCTGAGCCCTTTTAAAATGTAACAAGTTTATTTATTTCAACGCCCCATCCCTGACCCCAAAACGTACAGTACGATGACGACGTATCGTACAACTGGCGACGAGGAACACGGAATATTATCGCGTTTTAAAACTTAAATTCGCGAACAAAGTGACAGTGCAAGTGAACAAAGTTACAGTGTAAGTGAACAAAGTGACAGTGCAAGTAAACAAAGTGACAAGTGAACGTGAAGAAACGGCCGACGAACGTCAAACAACCGCGAATATTGACTCAGACTCATATTCTTGGCGGAAACGTTTTCGTGAGTGTAGAAAGGTACACCTAACATAACGTTATTCTTTGTTTTATGGACGTAATATTAGACTACGGACAGTTAAATAAGTGTAAAAAAGGCACTTATGCCGTTGACTGAAAGTTATTTCGAACAATTCGGACAGTTAGCGGAAACGTATTTTTCAACAAACATGGCAACAATTGGTAATATCGGTCCTTTTGACAGCGCCGAAGAAACTTGGCAATCGTATACAGAGCGATTTGAACTTTTTGTAGACTGCAACGGGATTAATGCCACAAAGAAAGCGAGCACACTACTAACGGTAATGGGAGTCAGGACGTATAAATTGTTAAAGGACTTAATCACACCTGATAAACCTTCGTCCAAGACGTACGAGGAAACTGTAGACACGGTCGGTAAACATTTACACCCGAAACCGTCGTTTATTACAGAACGTTTTAAATTCAGCCGCAGACATCAGTTAGAACACGAAACAGTGAGTGATTATATCGTACAACTTAAGCAGCTATCGCAACATTGTGAGTTTGGGGACAAGCTTCCAGACCATCTACGCGACAGACTGGTATCAGGCCTCAAGAACCACCACATCCAGAGACGACTGCTGGGGGAGGATAACCTGACCTACGACAAGGCAGTACAGCTGGCAACGTCAATGGAGTTCGCCGAGAAAGGAGCAGCCCAGATGACGCTTAATCCAGGAGGACGACTTCAGCGCCTCAGCCAGACGACAAGGACAGCACCAAGCGGAAGCGGGGGAAAATTCGCAGCCAACAGAGGTTCGGCAACGTCACAGCCCCGGGAGTGCAACTGCTGTGGAAAGAACAATCACAATACTCTGCAATGTCGGTATCGTGAGTACAATTGCAATTTCTGTAAGAAGAAAGGACATATTGAAAAAGCTTGTAGATCTAAGAGTAGAAGTGCAAATAGGCCCTATTTTAGTAAACAGTATAATGATGTATCTAAGACTAATGGACAGTCTAGGGGAGGAGATAAGTCGTATTTTAATTCAAAGTACAGTAATGCTAATGCTAGGCAACATTATGTAACAGAAAATGTCCCTAAACAAAGTGTAGACGAAGACACGGTATATGACATATCTAACTTATTTCAGGTACAGGGAGTAGAAGTTAGGAAAAAAGTAGAACCAATTAGAGTGCAATTAGAGGTAGAGAGCAAAAAGATCCTATTTGAAATTGATACCGGAGCTTGTGTGTCAGTTATATCTGAAAAAGATTACAAAGTAAAGTTAAGTCACGTAAAGTTACTACCAACAAGCTTAGTTCTTAGTTCGTACACACACGAAAAGATCGTACCTATCGGTAAACTATGTGTAAATGTAAAACATGAAGGTATTTGTAAACAATTAGAACTGTATGTTGTCCCTAACGGTGCAAACCCATTGTTAGGTAGGGATTGGATGAAAGCACTGCAGCTAGTTGTTAGTATCAAAAATAGTAGTAAAGTAAACAATGTTCAATCAGCTGTGGATGACAGCTCAGTTGGTACACCTGTCAGCTGTTCTGCTAGCAGAATGGTCGACACTAGCGCGCCGACTGAGGTGGCCGACACCGCAGTTACCAATGTAAACAAACAAACAAATGTCACAGTACATCAGCAGGGCAAGCAGCTAGTTAAACAGTTGTATGAGGAATTCCCTGATGTTTTCACAGACAAGCTAGGTTGTTTTAAGGGAGAACCAGTCAAACTTAAACTAAAACCTAATGCAACCCCTAAATATCATAAGCCAAGGACCTTACCTTTCACACTTAAAAATAAAGTAGAAGCAGAACTAGCACGTTTAGAAGCTGAGAGTATTATTTCACCAGTAAATTCAAGCCAATGGGCTACCCCTGTAGTACCAGTTTTGAAAACAAATGGTCAGTTAAGATTGTGTGGAGACTATAAAGTAACGCTAAATCCTTTCTTAGAGATAGACAGACACCCTTTACCTAAGATTGAAGAATTGTTCTCCAGTTTGCAAAATGGAGACAGGTTTTCTAAAATAGATTTGTCACAAGCGTATCAACAACTAAGACTAGATGATGAAAGTAAAAAGTTATGTACAATTAGTACCCATAAGGGCTTGTTTGAGTACAATAGATTATGTTATGGCATATCATCTGCTCCTGGTATTTTTCAGCGCACAATGGAGCAAACCTTACAAGGAATACCAGGTGTAGCGGTATTTCTAGATGACATTCTTGTAACAGGACAAAATGACTCTGAACATATTAGTAAATTAAAGTTAGTTTGTAAACGACTACAAGACAATGGTTTCACAGTCAGTAAAAGTAAATGTAAATTTTTCTGTGAAAGTTTAGAGTATCTAGGGTTTGTCATAAGCAAACGAGGGTTGGAAACTTCACAAGACAAGGTCAAAGCCATTGTAAACGCCCCAGAACCAAAAGATGTCACCCAATTAAAAGCATTTTTAGGCTTAGTTAACTACTACGCTCGTTTCATACCTAGAATCTCAACCATACTTACCCCTATGTATATGTTATTGAGGAAAGACACTGAATTTGTATGGAATTTAGCGTGTAAGAAAGCTTTTGAAGAAGTTAAGCAAAAGCTAGTATCAGCCCAAGTACTAGCTCATTTTGACCCTAAGTTAAAGTTAACGTTAGCATGTGACGCTAGTGCCTATGGTATAGGTGCAGTTCTAAGTCAAATTCAAACAGATGGTACTGAAAGACCTATTGCATTTACAAGTAGAGTGTTAAATGATACTGAAAAGCAGTATTCACAGATTGACAAAGAAGCTCTTAGTATAGTGTATGGAGTAAAAAAATTCAACCAGTACTTGTATGGTAACCATTTTTTGTTAAAAACAGACCACAAACCGCTTGTAGCTATTTTTGGACCTAAACAAGGTTTACCTGCATTTGCAGCTAGTAGGTTCCAACGCTACGCATTGTTTTTATCAGGTTATCAGTACGACATTTCTTATGTTAAATCCGAATGTAACGGAAATGCTGATGGTCTATCACGTTTACCAGTAAGTAATCCTGTAAACGATTAAATCAATGACAATGATTTAAATGTAAATATTGTAGGGACCTATTTACAGTGTTTAATTGAGAGTGAACTTCCTCTAAGTTATGTAGAAGTAAAACGAGAGTCAGCACTAGATCCTATACTAAATAGAGTAATAGGTTATGTTAGATTTGGATGGCCAAATGACGTAAATGAGAGGGATCCTATGTTAAATCCATTTTTTGTGCGACAGTCACAATTAACTTTTGAACAAGGACTCCTAATGTGGGGTTACAGGATCGTCATCCCAAGCAAGTTTAGAACACATATTTTACAAGAATTACACAATGGCCATGTAGGGATAGTAAGAATGAAGGCGTTGGCAAGATCCTATGTTTGGTGGCCAAATATCGATTTAGATATTGAACAAATTGCTGGTAATTGCACATCATGCTTGAAGGAACGTGTAACTCCGCCCAAGTCGATTTTGCACACTTGGAATGTACCGGATAAGGCGTGGTCCCGGATTCATATTGATTTATTCGGACCTTTTCAATCACAGTTATTTTTAGTAATTAAAGATGATTATTCAAAGTGGCCGGAAGTGTTACCCGTTCCATCAACGCAAGCAAAACACACAATATCTCATCTTAGAGAATTGTTTGCTAGATTTGGCTTAGTAGATCATATTGTCAGTGACAATGGACCACCTTTCACAAGTACAGAATTCCAAACATTTTTGCGAAAAAATGGAATCAAACACACATTTTCTCCACCATACAACCCAAAGACTAATGGCTTAGCCGAGAATGCTGTAAGAACAGTAAAACACAAACTTAGAATAGCACTACAAGACACTTCTGATTTGAACTTAACCTTATCAAATTTTTTGTTTACATACAGAAATACAGTACACTCCACAACCAATCAAACACCAGCAGAGTTAATGTTAGGCAGATCTCTGAAATCAAGGTTAGACTTAATTAGACCTAATGTGAAGGATGTCATTAGTAGTAATCAAAACAGACAAGTTTCAGCTTATGGTGGTGTCACAACACGTAGATTATTTGTTAATCAACCTGTGTTAGCTAAAGATTATAGGGGAAGGGAGAGATGGATAGAGGCTACAGTTATTGAAAAACTGGGTCCTGTAACTTATTTAGTTGAACTAGAATCAGGCGTTCAGTGGAAGCGTCACATAGACCAGTTGATAGCTTTACAGTCTAAGCTAGGGCAGCAGTCAGATTTAGTAGTAGAATTTCCCAAAAACGATCTGACAACGTCGCTTCCAGACAGACAAACGGCAACATTGCAAAATTCGCCAGACTGCACACTGACAGGGAACAGTAGCGAAGGTATGCGAGCTCTTCCGGGCACAGTCGGGCAGAAAACTCCGATATTGACTAGGTCACCTGACGCAAACCAAAACATTGAAAGAGCGGGGTCATTGGCTTCGCCTCCAAATGTAAACAAATCGCCAAATGTAAACAGACAGACGCCTACTAGACGCTTTCCTGTACGGGAGCGCAAACCTGTAATAAGATTAGACCTTTAATTAAATACCCGGACATGACTTGTATATAGATTTATTTATTATATATCCTTATCAATGATTTTCAAATGTGTATTTATTGAATTGTGTGTACTATTATGTGTGTTATCAATATTTAATATCATCAAGGTTCAATATTTAATGCTATTAAGGTTTATGATTTCAAGTGTGTGTTTCATTTACTTGTGTTTTTAATGTGTGATATTATCTCAATATTTTGACCATATATACATAATATATATTTAGAACTGATGATTGATTGATTCTCATTCTCATTTAAATGATTGGCAAAGAAAAATAATAATAAATTAATAAGATACTCTGGTATTGTTATTTGTGATTGTAAGTTTTCAAGATTATAGTAACCGATAGCATCACAAAACTTAAGAGGGGAGGATTGTACCATATTCTGATAATTTGTACCATAATGTTACAATAGTTTGACACTCATACCATCATGTAACCATAATTTCTGTTTAGGTTGGCAATATGCAAAATCAGGCGATATTTCTAATAAAACAGCTCATGGCTATTTCCCGTGACGTCATATCACGCCACCATCACACCACCTTTCCGGACAAGCCTAAATCCCCTCTCCTCACGTCAGTCCACACCATGTATTAGTCCCGTCAACACCGTATACCCTTTGCGGCCCTCTGAGCCCTTTTAAAATGTAACAAGTTTATTTATTTCAACGCCCCATCCCTGACCCCAAAACGTACAGTACGATGACGACGTATCGTACAGATATTTAATAAAACAGCTGTTAAAATTTCCAATATATTTTAAGAAAACATGTATAGTAAACAAATTTGTTTTAAAATAACTCCCGTAATACTTGGAAATTGCTCGATTTTGAGCATTAGGTATACTAATTTGAAATTATCAGTAATACAATTGCTTAAGAGATATGCCAGTCTTGAATGACAGACTGTACTTTTCTTAAGCATTGCTTGAACTACTTATTACACTACATTATTTGAAAAAGAATATAAGCAACTTTGAGAGCAGTATACTCATACATTGTTGTGATCATAAGTTTCAAATTATGGTTTTTTGAGTGATGAGTTATTACTTGACGGTCAACCCCTCTCACGTTTTTTAATGTTTAAGGACCTTGGCGTCGTGCTTTCTCCAAATTTAAACTCTCAAGAACATGTAAATTATATCTGCAAGAGAGCTAATTCTGCCTTATGTATTATTATAAGGAACAGCCGCAACATGTTCTCTGTTGATGAATTGAGGATCCTCCTCATCCATCTAGTCAGGCTTTTACTTACTAGAGTTTTCTTCACCTGTTTAGAGCCCTTACCTGATTGAGCAAATCGAGTCATGAGAACATGCAGAGCCGTTTCATTCGTCTGGCTGGTGTGCTGCTGGGTTTAGACTACCAATCCCAATCTACAACTTCAGTTGAACTTGATGCCACTACATGCACGACTTACATGGGAGGGAGCTGGCGGAGTGGTTAGAGCGCGGGACTTCAGTCCGTGAGGTCCCGGGTTCGATCCCCGCCAAGTCACCAATGGATTTCATCTAAGTGATAATGCCGCAACCCCTAGGTCTAGCCTGAAGTAATGTGAAAAACAATCCCAGGCTCGTGCCTAGCGTCCTAGGACAAAAAAAAAAAAAAAAAAAAAAAAAACTACATGCACGACGTGAAATCAATGACCTGTCCCTAAGGAAGCTGATTAATTCTGAAATTGATGCGCCCGATCTACTTTTCAAGTTGAGGACTTCCGCACATCTCTTCACCTGATCCAAATTTATCTGTTCGATAGACGTCATTTCTATACCCAGTTCATGTTCCACAGTACTTTTCCTCGTATCCAACTCTTGGCTAACAACATACCGGATGACATCGAACTCTTCTGCACGAGTGGTGAGTCCTTTAAAAAAAATTGGACTGGAAGGCGCTACATTGATTTGTCACTGTTGTTTCCAAGTTAAAGTTAAATCTTTCTAATTTATTTTATTACTACTATTGTTATTCGTTATTGTTGTTATTTATTATTACGGTTATTTATTATTATTGCTATTTATTATAGACTATACAGATATGTTCTTTGGTAACTATTTATACATTGTAAGTCTACACTCGTTCATTGTAAGTTGGTTGTCAGGCTACTTATTGATTAATTAACTAAGACAAAGTCCTATTGCACGTTTGGCTTTACACTTAGTCATCTTGAAAATGAGTGGTTTAATATACAAATTATTATTATTCATTCTTTGAACAACATTAGTTGAAATAAGACACAATTTTGTACTACTGACGGAGGTAAGCCTTTATACGTAAAAAATTATTACTTTCCTTTTGTTTAGACCGTTGGTAGAAAAAAAACTCATAATTTTAAAACCGTCTAAACCAAATTACCAGCTTAATAACTTCTGGATCAGCATTGTACTTGTAATTAAATTTACTGAAAGCACACCAAAATTAGTCTTATAAAGTCTAATAAATATTACTTAAAACAACAACAACTCATAGGTGGAGTTCCGGTCCCTATGTTTAAACTTAAGGATAAAATCCTTAAACATATTTTCTGTACAAAGTTCACATTATATATGACATCCTGTAGCGGTAAGCTGTTAAAACAAAGAACACCAATCAAAGCCAAGTTATTCATATTAGAGTTTGCGAAGAAACTCTTCTTGGTTTCAAGAAACTTACAAAAATAAAACCAGAGTAAAGTATCTTACCCAAAGTTTTGTTAAATGTAGGAAACACAGCCACGAATGCTGTTTGTAACTAGAAATATTGTGGTTGCCCAAACTAAGTTTAGTAACAAAAATAAATATCTCACATTTTAAACTAAAAGCTTTTTTGCAACTGAAGATACTATAGTGATTCATTAGCCCAATACAGGATACTTTATAGTTTTTGAAACTCTTAATTTTAGTTTTAGGAAACTGTATAATTTTTCAACAAGTTGATCATAATGTATGTTAAAACTTCAAAAGTGATATTTTGGCTTAATTGTCTTAATAAAGCTATCTTTACTTCAAGCGGTTGAAAAATTCTAATTAACCATACATATTAACTTAGTGAACCTTTCATCAAGTTGAATTAACTGACTTGCCTATTTACTTTGAGCATATGTATTAATAAATAGAGTAGCCTATTACATATTAATAGCATATGTATTTAATGTATTTAACAGTAAAAATAACATAGTTTTACTGATTCAAATAGTTCATTATAATTTGACTAATTTGATTAATGATCATAAAACCTTAACTTTGTATTGCTATGTTTATAAAAGAGAACTAAAATTTAAACTTAACTATTCTAAAAATGTTGCACAAAATATTTCTAATAATTGGGTTGGTTAGGTTATTCAGCTATTCAATGAAAAAAACAACTTCTCTAGTAATATAAATGAGCTCCTTAGTATAATTTAATTTTATTAACAAATAGTTCAATGAAATAGATTGAAGTTTTTTTTACTCTTAATGCTTTCCTTTGTGTTCCAAACCAATCTTTTTAATTGCTTTGCACAAAAAATATCTGTAGCTGATCAAGACTCTGTTACTCCTTTATGATGTTATCATCAGATAATGATTTTTTTTTAATTAGTGTATATCATCGTTAGAAATGAACTGCCCCACTTATAAACTTCTGTTAACCGATGAATTGTAAATGCAATGATTAAGTCTAGCAAATGTATCATCAATAGGTTAAATGTCATCATCTATTTCTTTTAATATTCGATGTTTTTATAAAATAAACAAAATAATCTATGAAATAAAAAATACCATTATACCTGATGTAATAGATATGTTATACTAATTTTTTTAAGTTTCGGGCTATTATATTAGAGCCTGATTTCTTAGTAATTAGAGTTTTAATTCATTTTTAGATTAAAATAAATATAGTTTATTTAACCCCATACTAAATTTTCTTGATTGTAGTTTTCATTTTAGTCTAGTTAGTGATACTGGGCTGCATACATAACCATTAAGCACTGCTTTACAATTTTGTATATATTTTATTTTTCCGATCAATGGAAATTTGTTTTTCTTTTACTTAGACGCTTGACCAACTGTTTATAGGTATATACGGGTTGAAATAGTATTGTTGAATTATTCATATTTTTTTGTACTAAGGAGTATTTTTATGTTTTAAACTAACTTAATGTGAACCAGCTAATTAATACCTGTTAGTAAATAATAATAATTGATTATAATAGTAAAATTATACAAACAATCATTTGTTATTTTATTATATTAGCCAACCGCCAACTATTATAACAATTTTAAACATATCCATGTAAACAACCATACATATACATATACATATATGTACATATTCATGTATTATTTTTTGGAAACAATTTTTTTATGGATATAATTTTACTGTGTAATTATATGTATTTAACTAAACAACAGCGTAAAATTTCAAATATTTCAAATTATTTATTAAATTTAGCACTGTTGTTTAAATTTAGGAATAAATTATTACTAGTTAGTATAGACTTAAATGAAATGCTATTTTTTGAAAATAAAACGTTATTTTTATTATTTGATTTTATTTGGTGTGAAATACTTATTATCTAACTCTTTGGACAGAGGAGGTTTGAGGATCCCCAGGTTATCTCAGTGGTAATTAAAACGTAATCCTCATCAGTATCAAATCTGGCCCCCGACACAATATGCATTACTTCCTTGTAATCTCTTGTGCAACAGACTAGCATGTTTACTTGCAATAATTTACTTGATGACATTATTACGTCACCTGACAATCCCTTAATTAAGTGCAACTGGAATTTTTAAGAAATTGGATAAACGGCGGTATTTCTATCTACAATGACTATGAAGACTTCACTGACTCTGCATTCATTTATGTTTTATAATATAACTTAATTGTACAAGAAATAAATTAGTTCATCTTCTCATTATTTTTTTTATTAAAATAAAAAATATTTTCAAATATTTTTAGCTTGGCATACGTGTTGAGTGGTTATAGTACTTATTGGATTTCAAAAGGTCATAAGCTCAATTCTGAGACATTTAGTATTTGAAACTTGACCCATGATGACTCATAACCATGTTGTTGTTGGGTTTCAAGTAATATAGCTAAATAAACCTGGGTCAGGCATTTTATCTAAGGTTACGGATTTCATCCTACTCTGCATGTATTAATATAATAGTCATGAGGGCTAAGAGCGTATTAAAATCATTGATTTATATCTATGACAACAACCTAGGTACCGTACTAGTTCGCAAATTGCTACCTTCAAAATTTTTGAATTAATACACATTCTAAAAAATATAAAATACATATGACTTTTGTTAAAATAAGAACAAACTATAGAACATTTAAATTTAAACTATTACTTTTGTATCTCCTTTGGTAACGGGTGAAGGCCAGCAGGGTCCAGTTGATCTTTGGCAAAACTTGTGAAGAGCTCCTGTGCATCTACGTTACATTTGGTAGCCACTTTCTTAAATCCAGCTTTAAGGCCAAACATGAACTTTGAGTCTTCTGGTGTTTCCATCAACTTGATAAGTCTTTGCTTTAATTCCTCCGGATCAAGAT